AAACGAACGCGCCGACACATTGTCCCCGGCGTTGCCGTCGCCAACTAGACTACGAGTATCTCTCGACTGGCAAACACTGAAAAAAAAAAACACGAAAGCAGGAGGAGAAAAAAACACTGAGTTGAAAAAATTTCAAGCGCTGGCGATCTCAATTAAAATGCACACGTCCCGATGAAAATCCTCCTCGCTGCTTCGAGACGCGTTCGTTCGTTCTTCTTCCTTTCGAGTATTTCGTTTCCAATTAAATATAAAAATCGGAAAAGTCGCGCCTCGGCTTTTAAATTAGAAAGCGCTCGACTTGATTTCGTGCACTGTGCACACTGTGCGTGTTATATATGCATAGAACAGCGGACGACAGAGGACGCTCCAGTTCTGCCGGCCCCCACGCAGCGAGCACTCGAATAAAAATGGAATAAATTATAACAACCGGCGTAACGCGGAAAGGGTTAATTAGATAGACGTGCGGCGGTCTCCGGGCCGTTTGTCTGACGTTTCCATACGGGGTGCTGCAGAAAAAACAAGCAAGAAGTTTATTCTACTATGGCACACCTGCTGATGCATGGGGGCGTTCATAATTCAAAAGTTTCGTGTTCTCGAGTTTCAGTTTCACCGAAACGGACATTAATATTTCGTGATGCTAATGCACCGTTTGCGAAGAAAGTGTAATTAACCTGTAGTTATCTCTACCGGTTCATCGTTTCTTTAATTTCGGGGTGAAATTTTGTGGTCTTGACAGGGTGAATTTTCGTTGCGTTTTGCATTTTGGATATAAACGCAGTTTAAATTAAATTAAAAAAAGAAATCGCGATTTTCCGCTGGGGAGCATTTGCGTGGAGGCGAAATAAATGTCGACTTGTTCTAAACGGGATAAGAGTTTTTCTTTTGCAGCCGCTGCAGGTAAAGAGGCCCTCGAGAGATGGAAAGTTTAAGAAGATACTTTTCATTTTTTCGTAACATCTAGTTACGTGTACGCTTGCTTTTACGACGAAACTATAAATTTCTGCGCAAAGTTTTTCATTTCGGGGCGTAAAATTAAATCCATGTTAACTTCACACTATGTATGACTTTACAATTAGCGCAATGGACGGATGTAAATTCAAATCCACTTTGGATCATGTATATCGATTGGAAAATTACAAGCTCACATTAGTTTCTCATCAGGATTTCTGTTCGTCCAGAAAGTAATTATTAAACAGTCACAGTTGTGTAATTTGCAAATTTCTAAGTTTAGACAACGAAAAATTGCTTGAATTTAATTAGAAATGCAAAGATCGATCTTTTAGATTTAGAATGAATACGCGAAAATAATTACTACTGAAATATCCTTCCCAGCGGGATATCAGAACGGATTTAAAATCCGTTGTCCTCGCACGACGTGCATGGACATTATTAAATGCGCTTGATTCTACCACCTGGAGGCAAGAATGTCAGCACAACTAATGAATATTTTAATTAATATTAATTCATCAAACGGAACGCTCTGCGTTTCTGGAAAATTTCCGCTCGTTTTATGCAAAATTTGGTGCATAAAAAATCATCGAAATTTATTGCGATGAAAATCGAAGAGAAAATGACGACGACATCGCAGCTAATGGGAAAACTTGGGCAATTCAATCAAGATATACGATTCGCCAGGTTCGCCCATTCGTATTAAGTAAAACTTAATGATCAGGAATCAATTCGTGTAAAACTTAAATTTAATTCAATCGATAACTTTTATGTGATTTATGTTTTTATCACTTTACAGCGATTTCCTCGTGAATTTTTCATAATTTTCACGTAAAATAATCATTTTTAGAATAAAGGTACCATTCCACTAATCTATAATATAAAAATGAATCGGAAAATCTGTTGGTAAGCGCATAACTCAACAACGTTTAGACCACTTTGGCCAATTTTTTTTATTAAAATGTTTGTTAAGGTCCAATGATGGTTTTTACAGCGAGAAAAATTTGAATAATTGTCGGGAAAACCCTAAAAACAGCCCTTTCCTATAAGATAAAAGTTGGCATTGAGATTCAGTCATAGTTATAGTTAAATAATTGAATCCGAGGTGGTGCTACAGTGCATTATTAGCTATTCTTTCTAAAATTAATTTGTTTAAAATAAAATTGCGAATCTTATTGATAGCTTGGACACATACTATGTCTAGAACAAGAGAGTAAAAACGAATTACATTTTTATTAAACACTACCGGAATGAAGTCGTGGCCAAATGCTAGTATTTTATAAAATCATTTTTATAATACAGGCACCATTCTATTAATCTTCTATAATATAAAAATAAATCTGAAAATCTGTTGGTAATCGTATACCTCAACAACGCCTAAACCAATTTGGCTAATTTTTTTATTAAAATGTTCGTTAAAGTCCAAGGATGGTTTTTACGGCGAGAAAAATTCGAATAATTGCCCAGAAAACACTAAATACAGTCTTTTTCTATATGAAAAAAAGTTGGCATTGAGATTCAATCATAGTTATAGTTAAATAATTGAATCCGAGGTGGCGCTACAGTGCATTATTAGCTATTCTTTCTAAAATTAATTTCTTTTAAATAAAATTACGAATCTTATTGATATAATTGACACATACTATGTCTAGAACAAGAGAGTAAAAATAAATTACATTTTTATTAAACAGTACCGGGACGAAATCGCGTTTTATAAAGTTTAATTAAATTTATATCTTGTCCTTGATGACGTGCTCCTGGGATTACGCATTTCGGCTTGAAGACGAGAACGAAAGTTGTGTTTCCATTTCGTCTGATTAGAAATGCGCGCCGCACAAAAGACATTTTATGCTGGAATTAACAAATTTGAATATTTCACACGTTGGGCGGATGCCGGCGGAGGTTGGGCGCAATGTTTGCGTAATAACTCTATTAGTGATACAAGTTTGAAGGATTTGCTCGGCGCTTCGGCATGCGGTGTGTGCGGCCGCACATTCCATCTGATTTTGAGCCGTAACTACTGTGGCAGTCGAGAGCCGGGACTAACATTAATAGTTGACGACAGTGCTGTGACTGGAATATGTGATCGTGTCGCATTCGGTATTCCTGTCCGCAGGAGTTACACCGGAATATTTTAAGGGCGACTGCTTACGCAATACGAGTACATATCTTAACATATATCTACTTTAAATGAGAAAATAGTAAAGTTTTTAAATTTTCCGTGTTTGGTGAGTTAAATAGTTTACACAAGCCTCAATTTTGAACATTTCGTGATGTAACCCCTTGCGGTGAACAGCAGGCAGACACTCGAGTGAAACCCCGGATCGATATTTCAATTAGACACCTGTCTTTACAATCCGGGGCCGCGTCGCTGTGGTATAATTAGCTCGTTGCTGGCTGCCGCCCCGTGGAAGCAATGTAACGCTGAGCGATATAAGTTTCATCCCTTTAATTAACAAAATTTTACAAATGCGACCACGCCGGAAATTCGCGAACGCTGCGTGCGTGGCAATCTGCGGTCATTATCATTTCGGGCATTGCGCTTCGCCGCGATAAAGTCACCCTTTGGCGGATCCGTGCAATATGTGTCATATTCACATACATATATCCGGCGCGTATATATTTGGATAGACATGTCGGCAGTGAGGCCTTAATGGGAAGACACGTGCGGTGCGCCGTCTGTGCTGCGGGGGCATTCGCATGATGTTGCGTCGAGTGACAGCGAGGTAATTAAATCACAAGGGCACGGAGCCCGCCACCGAACCACGCGAATGCCTGCCACGCAATGTAATGACGTGCAATTGGCGTTCGGGGGCAAACTGTTTAATTATTATCCATTTCGTTTCGCTCACGGCGATGAATTTATACATATTTTAGGCAGATGATATCTTCACATCGCAAGAATATTATTATCTCATGGAATAGTATTATTTAAGCGACTGTCAGTTCTGTTTTAGCGTTTAATTTGGACAATTTGTGCTTAATTTTGATGGGAATATGGATATTTATAGATGAAAAGTGCATATTTTAAGGCAATTTAATATAATACTTTCAATCGTCGTGAGATGGCGCTGGGATTTGCATTTAGTGATAGTGTAGTTGCAGTTGCATAAGCAAAGTTGTGTCTTGTGTCTTATATGGCTGCCTGTGTTCACTCACACGGGCGAGTTCACACTGTGTGTGCACCCCTCTTAAATATCTTTCTATGAATCACCTATAGATGGCGTTAATATGCACAAATTGACATAAAATTCGTTGCAGCGATTTCTTCACTCATGTTTATTTGCATCGTGCAGATATTGCATAGTCACGCGATAAAATCAGATAAAAACATAAACAAATATTCTACGCGTAAAAAGTAAACACTAAAGTAAGGATTTCTAGTGTTTTACTTTACGTTCGCGGAGTTCAAGGCATCTCCACCTGACGGTTAAGCCATGACAAGGCCGCCCACAGCCACCGCCGCAGCGGACAGACGCGCAGCGCAGCTACGAAGACGAAAACTTAGCCGGCGCGCAACTACAGGTGTGTTACGAGAATTATGAAGTGAAACACCCTCGAGCGCTAAAAGGCTTATACGTTATTTATTACATTCCTGATACTCACGGTGTAAGTTTCAATTATACCCTCTTATACGCATCTCTTGTATTTATCTTTAATCGTAAATATCGCTAGAAATTTCATTTTACAAGAAAACATTTTTATGCGTTAAAATTCAAATTTTAAAACAATTCTGATTCTGAATATAGTGGACCTTCTGCTTGTCGCTGCATTAATAATTTATAAATCAAAAGTAACAAATGGAAATAATGATAACATTTAATGACGATTCCAAATGCAATCAATAATCGTTATTTGCACGCCATTATTTATTCCCACACGCACGGTTTTATTATCATGCATAAATTTGCATGCGAACGACTGCTTATTAACGCGTTAACAAATACGTATTATGTGATAAAAAATACACATTACACTCGTTTTATTACTGCTGGCATCAATAATTCACCATTATAACAGAGAATCAGTGTATAAAGTATAATATTCCATACCTTAAAATTTAACGCCGTTGAAAATGTAACGCAGACTTGTAGAAGTGTAAATAATTCCAGTTCTTCGTGCGTAAACAAAGTCCGCGGTGGAAGCAAAAGCGTAGCTGCAACAAAACAAAAACTTGAATGTAATATATTTGTTTATGGAACTGCGTGCCAACATCAAAGGTCTCACACGTAATATCGTTACAAAAGGTACAGTAAAAGCAAAGTTTTCACATCATCTTTGCGCGAGTTCCGCGAGTTTTGTAATTGTCAAAAACCAGATTCATTCACCACCAGATACAAGGTGTAAGTAAATATTAAGCCTTGTTAAATTTATTCTTGGTAAATAATTTCGAAAATTCACGTTTTATATTCGGCTACTTTGGAAAACATTTCGTTTGGTGGTGTTTGCATCACGCGTTCACTTCGCAAACAAATTGTATATATCGGAGAAGTCTAAGAACTAAGTATTCGGTCCGTGGATCGTCTTGAATTGTTGGCACGCACTCACAAAGCGTCGCTTTCGTTTGTGCCGCTGCGCCATCTCAGGTTTTATTATACCAGCGCCCCTTTTGCGAGTTTCTCGTCTTCGGACCGCGGTCGGCGATCCTCTCCGGCGTGTGCAGCACGCTGGAAATTACATGCTATTCCACTTATTCTCGGCTAACCATCGAGAACACAACACAATACTTTTTTTATTCGCTCGCCTTCGATGAAGATATAAGAGGGTTTCGTGTGTGCTAGGCAGACGGTGGGGATATTTTGACACAACTGTCTGGATGTAAACTAAGCTTAATTCAAATATGGTGGGGGTAGCAGGATCAGGGCTGGCAGTTGCGGCGACCGCAAACGCGTCCGACCTAAAGTTGCCGAAAGAGTGAAAAACCGCATTTCCATGATACGCCAAACCCCATCGTCGACGAGTTGAAGCCGCACATTAAAAGCGCTCGCCGAGTTTTCCGCCGCGTCTGCCAGCTGCCGGGCGAATTTGTTAAAGCGTAATCCGCGTTCATTTTACGTTCGTTAATTTAATTATAAATAAAATATCACAATGCATACATTTTACATATATACTAATAAATCCCACATTAGTATTGCTATTAATTATCGATATAGATTTTCATTTAATTTTTATTTTGTTGATTGTGTGATGTAACACCAAAGTCCACTCGGAAATATAAAAGCATTCGGTGTTGCGGTTGTTGCGTTAGAACATAAAACTACATAAATAACTCTCATCGCGTTTATGCAAAATAAAAACATCAAGTCGTTTATTTTTCAGTGGTATGCAAACGCCTGTCATATATATATGTATTATATACAATTTACATTTGTTGGTTTCGCGTTTTTTTTCGGGTTTGTTTGTTGCGCAACAAACCCTCCTCCGGTTTGGTTGTTTGTCGGGTTTATAAATTGTGTACGCACGTTCCCTCGAGGAACGCGCAAAGGACCCAATGCATGGTCCAGAGATTGCGTGCCTTACGACTACACTTTCGGTGTCGGTCTTTGGGTCGTTACCATGTTTCTCGCGCATGGAAAAATCCACACAGAAAAACATATGTAAATATCTCAAGTGGAAAACGCAGCTAGAAATATCTATAATATAAAAATGAATTGAAAAATCTGTTTGTAAACGCATAACTCAACAACGCTTAGACTAATTTGGTCAATTCTTTTTTAAAATGTTTGTTAATGTCCAAGGATGGTTTTTACGGCGAGAAAAAATCGAATAATTGCCAGGAAAACCATAAAAACAACATTTTTCTATAGGAAAAAGTAAGTATTGAGATTCAATCATAGTTATAGTTAAATAGTTCAATCCGAGATGGCGCGCTGAAGTGCATTATTAGCTATTCTTTATATAATTAATTTGTTTAAAATAAAATTGCTAATCTTATTGATAGAATTGATACATACTATGTCTAGAACAAGAGAGTAAAAACAAATTACATTTTTATTAAACACTACACTATATTTTTGTTGCGGACGTAAATTTAGCATGATTCCGATTAACAATAAGTTCATTAGGGCAGTGATAAATTGGGGTCAGTTTATAGACAGTAAGCGTCACCTAATAAGATAATAAAACCCTTGCGCCCGCCCCCGGCGGCGGTCGCGTCGAAGACCCTCGTAAGATTTGTAACCCGCCTACGGCGGGGGGCAAAGCCAGCGCTAATGTCGGAATATAATGCACTACGCACCGCGGATCCACCCCGTACAGTCTATAAATTAGCTTAATTTGGTGCAACTGGTCCATAAAGGACCTGTGCTAATCCTTTGATGTAAAACAATCTCCAATATACCTACCTACGAGTACGTGAAGCCCCTGCTCGAACGTCTTACAAGTAAGTAGTGTCTCTCTACTCGTACTTCCCAACCCAACCCGCATCTGGAGACAATTTTCAGTTCCTCTGTATACCTATAGTCACGTGAGTCAATTCTTCAAAGGTTTCTCGAGCGATTCCCGGAAAACGTTTGCGAAAGAAAATTCTCAGCGCGTTTTCGTTTGTCATTTTTAGATTGAGTCAATTATGATCTGGAAGCAGGAAACGAACGAACCGAACACGACGAACACAGTTGCCCAGTAAGTGGCACTCTGCATTGCGCTGCAGCACAACGTTTTGCAAATTTAATAAATTCCGTGCTTCGTTAAAGCGACTAATTTACATAAAACAATATTTCTGCGTCGAAATCGGCGGCGGAATGAGAGCGACTCGGAGATATTTCCTTTGTTGATTTGATATTTACACAAAACGCCGACATCTCAATTATGTATTCCGTATTCCTCTACGCGTCGTCGCCGCCGCCTTTCAGTGCCCATTGTAAAACGCGCACGTCTTTTGCTTTCGAGCATCTTTTTTTCTTCTTCTTCGAGTATTGTTTCGTTTCTTTTCACGTGCGAGCTGTAATGCCCGCAAATGCCATCGTTTTATTGTGAATCTCCTCGTGGAAAACGTTCGGGTCCACTTGGAAATCCATATGAAAAATAAAAACATATAAAGAAGAGATCTATAGACATAAATGTCTACTGATGCTCCGGCGATAACAATAAATGCTACTCGGAGCGTTCCCGATATTGATTTTGTTCGGTAACAGTAATAATAACGAGATTTCCTTTTGTTACCGTTTGATAGATAAATAAATACATTATTTGTTAAATTACTAATAAATTTCTACAATTCAACAGTTTTTCAGTGATTTTTAACAAAACATTTTGAAGTTTTATCAAACATTCGGTTTTAAATTGGTAGGAAATATATTCTCACCTTTTCTTCGGTTGCACTTCCGTTGTCATCGATAAATAACAATATTTACCAGGAAAGATAGCGCACAGATTTCAAAATAACCAAGAAATATAGCTTTTCGATTTATTTTAAAATAGACCCACCACTATAAACTTTCCTTCTGAAATATGGTAAAATTTATTATTAAATTTGATAATTTGCTTAATCTGACATAGAGTGATAACTCTGTGCAAATATTGATTGATATAAAGTTTGATTGGTGTGTGCGATTCGTCAGAGTGGGCATGGCACGTCCGCCGCCCATTGTGCGAGCGTGTGCAAAGGGCACGTCGGTAGCGCCGAAGGCGGTTTGACAAGGCGACAGCGTCTGGACCCACGCGCGCGCGGGCGGCGGTTGCGTGACGCGCCCGCGGCGGACGAAACTTGCTGCGTTTAGATAAGTCATCGTCGACGGCGTGCCGATACAAACGGAATGGAGCGTTTCTCGTCAAAATGCGACCGGGGGACAGTCGAGACGATCATTTCTTTTTTCCTCCGCTTTTCTCAGACTATATCCACAGTTCTCTTCTTTTTATTTGAGCGCTTAGATCTTCGAGCGATTAGTGGAACGTGCACTGGGACAAAACAAAAGCTCTTGTATTATATATATAATCTACACTTGCGACGGGCTTTCGTGTTGAATGTGGAGAAAAGCAACGCGCAGCAGAATAGCGTTCGGCGTTAGACATTTAACGCTAAATTTGAAGCCGGACAACGTTATTGATCAGCGTGGCAATTGACAATCGATGATGTTTTTATTGCATGTGCTGTGATCGCATTCGATTGACGGCGAATGATGCATGATGACCGAAGACGATGTGGAGAAAAAAGCATATTACATTTCACGTGCGATACTGGTGATTTATTAGTGATTACCGGGAGAATTTATCACTAAAAAAGAAATAAATAGTTCATTAAATGTATTTCGGTATAATAATCTTACAAATTTCAAATTAACTCGACCTTTTGACTTTCAAATCACTTTTTCAAGTAAAACTCTATTTTCTGCCGCCAGATGTCGCTGGTATGCATTTATTTGGATTAAAATTACTTCTCAATATTATGTTTTGATTTTACAACGATGTTTACGTGCAAGAATGCAATAACTCGACCTTTTGACCTTCAAATCACGTTTTTAAATAAAACTCTATTTTCTGCCGCCAGATGTCGCTAATATGCATTTATTTGCATTTAATATACACCTCAATATTATGTTTCGATGCAGCGTTGTTTACGTGCAAGAATGCAAGAGATTAGATAACGTCGAGTTAAAATCTTGATATTCCACTTTAGAACCAGTATTGTTTGCGTGCGCGACGTGCAAAGACGTGTTTAAGTTTTGTGTGTGCAATAAAATATTCAAAACCCTCTGTAATTTTAACTGTAATGGTGGTTGCTGACCAGTGCCCACTTCCAACCAGTCATATAAAGGTTAGTACGATATTACACTAACAATAAATGCAAAAATACGCGTTGTAGTATTCCGTTTGTGTCAATCCAATACATAATGCATACTAAATCTCTATAACAAAGAACGCGAGAGCGCGGAAACGAGATAAGCAGAGATTAACTCGACGACCAAAGTCACCCGGCGTACGATACAAGACTTGTATGCGCGCGGAGAAATATAATATGCGCGACTCGGTGCGGCGCTGTGTGTGCTCTCTGTACTATTAAGAAACGGCAATTTAAACTTTATACCCGGACAGCGAGTGAGCAATTAAAATTAACTGGGAAGTTTCGCGAAGAGCGCATTAAGATCACCGGTTTATTGTAAATTCGTATGCGGCGAGAGAGACGCCCGGGCGAGACAAGTCCGGTCGTTTGGAATTCGCGGCGACTTTTGCCAAAAACATCGCTCTCTCGGGCGACGCCTGCTTAGTGAGCAATTGAAATGTCTTCGCGTGCAATGCGCATGCAAACTTTGTAGCCGGCGCGCAAACTTGGCACCGAACGCACCAGAGTAATTAGTTCCACTCACATTTGTTATCGTTATTTATCGTGAATTTTGGAGGGTTTATTTATTTTACTTATTGTGGATGTTTTTGGTTTCAGGGGGCGGAAATGGCGGTTTTACATCGAGCTACAAGGTAGGAAAAAAATAAAATTTATTTTATAGGTAGCAATTGAAAAAATTGGTTTTGGAGTTGAAAAATTTAATAATTTTGTCGCCCTTGGGCTGTAAAGGTGATTTTACCGCCCTAGGGCCGTTAGAATATTTATCTGTAACGTTATCGTAATTTTAAATGATTTTATTGGTGTTAAAACGTAAATATCTCTGATGTTTTGTCTCTAGGGCAGTAAAAACGTACACACTTATGATTTTACCGTCCTAGGGCTGTAAAAATTATTGAATTGGCAGAGGGCCGCAAAATTTATCAACACATAGTAATGATATCTGCTTTTATCACCATATAACAATAAAAAATGTATTTTTACTGCCCTAGGGCCGTAAAAATTAAGCATTTTACCGCCCTAGGGCCGTAATTTTTTTCTCGACTTTCCCATCGCAGTAATAATATTTTTCCGTATTTTCCTCATGAAATCTATGATTTTGTACGCAAAAGTTAAAAATTTCACAAAAAAATACACTTAAGCAGTGGTTCCATTTCAAAGACTAAAATGTATTACATGTAACGCTTTTACGAGCACAAATTTACTTTCGACAATTTCTGTTCAGTCACTTCTGGTCGGTTCGACGTGCACCACAGCCTCTCGAGCCGGCTGCCGCCGCCGCTGCCGCCGCCGGCTTAACGAATATACATGGTCGGGCGTCAACCGACGATATTAATACGCGTCGGTCTGAACGAGAAAAATAATTTACAACGGCGTTTTAGGCCGGATGCTCATTCCGTGTGCATTTTTCACTTTAAATTAAGTGGAAATGATGCCTGCCACGTCGTTCGATTCTCGGACGTCGATGAACGACACCGCCATCTATCCACTAATACAGAAATATATAAATATAAACTGAATACGAACGTAATTGATACAATCAAATGTTTCGACGCGTTGAGGTACGAGTAGAAGGTAAATGTGTTGATTAAACACAAAATGTAGGCCGCGGAAATTAGGTAATCCCCTCGTCGTTATAACGAGGATTTGTTGAGACGATTAATAAAATGGCGTGCGAGACTAGTCTGCTCGTACTCCGATCGTTTTGTATAATGTTTGCGGTTTGCAATTAGTAATATGAGCGCGCAGCTAACCCATATCGTAAACTATGCCACCCACTATACAATTCAACGCTCAGTTTTAGGGTTACAACCTTCATTCGGATAATGTTTTCGAATGTCGACCCAAAATATATGCATAAGCTCCTCCGCTCCGTGAATTACTACCACTTTAATCGCGCGCCGTTTTAATTCTTCTTGAGAAGTGGCAGTGAAATATTTTGTACACAAATTTTAATTTCAAGCAGAAAACGTCATTTTACGCATGAGTATGAGAAATATGTGGAAATATATTGTAATGTATTGTTGTTGCTTGGACGAGTACAAAATGAGAGATTATCTTTCGTGACAGAGGCGCGAGCGCGCGAAGAGTGAGCGGTTCGTCGGATTACGCCGGGCTTAATTACGCGGTGAACCTGTGTGCCGTTATGTTACACGCCGCCGCCGCTAAATATCGCTGGAGGAGCGCAAGGAAAAGCTCATTGAAAGACGCCAAAGCCGACGCTAAGAACATCAAAGCTCCGCACGTCAGCGGCGGACTTGCGACTCGCTTACACATTTCGCTGAAACAATTCATCTTCTAATGCTGCGTTGTGAGAGATGAGAGCTGGGCTGCAGCATGCACGCACGCAGCGCCCTCTACCCCAAGTTATTGAAGAAGTTTGAGGCAGAAAGAAAAGAATGAGGAAGGTGCGTGAGCGCGCGCACCACCGGCGGGCATCTTTTAAAACACAATTCGCTAATTAAGAAGTTTCAACAAGAAGGGAGTCGCGTCTGTGCCTTCTTCGGCGTAATTATCAACAAATGCTACAAATCTTAATTTAATTAACGATGATAGCTGCTGCTGCAGCGCGTATTTTCTACGTCTAACGACGGAGCAAACATTTGTCTATTTAATCAATCCACGCTTACGTCTTCTTGGAAGTTTTATCAACGTAATTAATTAGTAATTAATTAGTCTAACAGCATATTTTTACTTGGATAGCGACATTTTCCGATATTTAGGGTCAACGCATCCTATAACTAATATTCAATGTAATAATGAAGCCAGCCAAAGGCCGGCGTAATCCTTATCCCCTAATTGGATTATACATGTTTTATAGTCTCGTGCTTTTCGATGATATAAACTAAGAGGCTTACGCTGGCACGCCGCGAGCGTCATCTTTTAAAATTACTTAACAATAGACGCATTATCAAGTCGCCAGTTAAGTGAATTAACGCTATTAGCATTCATTTTTAAATTACCGTTATAAAAAAGGCATAAGCTGGTTAAGTAATGGGCATTAATGTCAAAATTCAATGTCTAGGCAATAAATTTCCATTTTATTATCTTTGCAGTAATGAAAAAATTTAAATACAAGTTTTAGTTTATTCTAGAAGTCAAAAACTATAAATTTTTGTGTTTGGACAATAAATTGGCAGTTTATTTACTATGCTGTGAAGAAAAATAAATTTTAAAAGTTTTATTTCATTTTGTTAGTGGAAAAAGATACGATTTTTAATATTTGGGCATTAAATTATCATTTTTTGTACTAGGCAGTAAAAAAAATCAAATAATAGTTTTATTTCGTTCTGTAGGTCCAAAAAAAGAATAATTTTGATTGTTTAGGCAATAAATTGTCATTTTCTGTACTAGGCAGTAAAGAAAAAATGAAAATTTAAGTTTTAGTTCATTCTACATGTCAAAAAAGATAATTTTTTAATATTTGGGGAATAAATTAACATTTTAAAGACTAGGCAATAAAGAAAAAATACAAATTAAAGTTTTAGATTGTTCTGTAGGTCAAAAAATAATAAATTTTATTGTTTAAGCAATAAATTATTATTTTATCTTCTAGACAGTAAAGAAAAATATCAAAAAATAGTTTTAGTTTGTTCTGTAAGTAAAAAAAACGAAAAATTTTGTTTGTTCAGGCAATAAATTATCATTTTTTGTACTTAGCAGTAAAGAAAAACATTAAAATATAAGTTTTAGTATTTTTAAGGCAAAAAAATTAATTTTTAATCTTTAGGTAAAATTAATCATACTTTTGATGAAAGCATTCGCACGATTCTCATTTCCGCGCAGAAATTCCCCGTAATTATTTAAGATTTCCCGATCCGATACACCTGGACTGACCCTGCGCGCGGGTAATAACACGGTAAACACACGGAACGCGATCAAATAATTGAATCGAATAATATGGGCCCCCGCTTAGCGCGTGTTATTGCTGCCGCACGAATATTAGTGTAAATATGCGTCTGCGCTGATTACGTGTGAATTTCGCATGTCCGAAACACATAAAATCGTTTCAATTATGCAGATAGATAATCGTCAAATTATATCCGTTGAATGCGCTCAAAAACACTCGGCCGAATTTCGCGCATTTCAACACATATCACCCTCGATTGAATCGGATGCAATTTTAGTGACTGCCAATTGAATTTCCATCCAGTTTCAAATTTATGTTTAGTGATTTTTTCTTCGTGTGATATTTTCGACGTCGTGAGTTTTCCGCTCGTATGTAAAATCGAAGCCTATTATATATTCATACACGCGGCGCACTATTAAGGCTTTTTGTATACACACCCTTTTGTGTTCGGGAGGCGCGCATGCGCGACACGGAACACTTTGCGAGCGTGTTTCGTATTAATATTGCAGAAATTCGAGACATGTTAGGTAACATAGGTACTTACTACACACTTTCTGACAAACAAGCACACGAAGGTCACGAGGGTTCAAACATAACCCTACAAAAACCCAACATCTAACATTTTACTCGGTTGTATTTGTAAAAAAACGCAAAAAAAACGTGATGATACATAATAGACACATCGAACTCATCAATTCATCGATGCGCTAGCCGAGTATCCGACATTGGGCGTATGCATGCATACATCATCCGTCGACGGCGGCGGTAATATCTACCGCCGCCTTCGTTGGTGCCGCCGAGATATCGAACCGGGTGACAAGCGCGCCGTTTAGTTTAGCGTTAGCCGTTCATTTTGCGAAACAACGTTTTTGCAGCATCATCAAAGTATACACGCGCGACATCTACGCACACACACTTGAACACGTACACCAGCAGAGCGCGCCTCCCATCCCCGCAACCAAACGATCACAGCGAGTGGTGCGGTGGAGTGTGTGCGGCGGCGTGCTGTGATGGTGTTCTACATTGCGCTGAATAAAATTAATCGAGTGTTAAGCTTTGAAAATAATTTCACGGTGTCACAGCGTAGTGTCTACCCTCGGTGTCATTCATCTGTGTATGCAGCATATTTGCCTAGAAGCACTCATAATCTACTCTGCTGTGTGTAAGAAATTCAGTAACAGTAACAAAATAATTTTTATCTGCGCATGCGCGTTGTATGAATCGTCAAAACTGTGCTTTTCAACATAACCTAGAATTATTTGTAAGATTTTCTGAAATGTTGAATAAATAATGTGTTTACGTGAATAAAATGTGAATGTAAGTAAAGTGCTGTTATTAAAACATGTGGGGCGCTGCATTGTGTTTGATGAACAAACAAATAAACACGAAACCAAAGCGTGCACACAGCCTAGGCCTAAAGATACACCTCGCCGCGGAACATGCTTATAATATAATAATCGATAAGCGTATTTATAGAAGCAAAGCATTGTGAAGCGCGCTGATAAACAAAAGGGTGAGCACTTTTGCGATTGGATGGATGACGTCGAGTAAACGATGTCAATGCTCTACTTCCCCAGCGCAGATTTTCATTTTTAATTCCTAAAAACTCAAAATTTAAGTTTTTGTTTGTGCAATATATTGTACAATCATATTGTTGTGTTATAACACAACACACTCGATCCCCTCGAGGCGTGGAGTAGGTACACCGTGCGATGAGATATAGTTACACTTGACAATGAAGTTTAATGGAATTAATATTACGTGAGCTAAGTGATAACAACTTTG